GGCGGCCCCGGCAAAACCCGCTCTGGGTCCCGCTGCTTGGCTGATGACAGGAAGGTTCCGGCAGCCGCGACACAGCAGGTCACTGCCTGCCCTGTGGGCAGGAAGACGCCAAACGCCATCGAGTGTTAAATGTATAGTTTCATTGAGTATCAGCCGCGCTCATTGGGAAAGGAGCTAAAATTAGCTCTGAGACACGGCTCCTCCCCCACTCGCCCCAGGCCGGAGACGCTTTCTGGACTCCTTCGTGGGGGCAGGGGCAGTTTCACAACAGCCAGGGGAAGGAGTCGGGTTATTTTTCCGGGTGGAAGCACTAGTGGCTTTGGCTTGAGCCCAGATGAAGAGGGGCAGCGTTGAAACGCTCGGCTCTGCTTTCAGCGGGGATATTTGGGGTGCTGCCGCCATGAAATTGGGGCACAGGAAGGGTGACTGCTGTCTGTCGGGGCGGGGGAGTCCCAGCATGAAGGGGTCCCTCTGCCTGAGGGTGGTGCCCACCACTTGGTTGTGTGTCTATCGGGGCACCCCGGAACGGCACGCTGCTTCCGAGACAGACCGGGGCCAGCTGGGCATCACTGCCTGCCCTGGGCGCTCCACGCTGCTCCTGGGCCGAGTGCTGGGCCTGTGCCCCTCAGGGCTCGATGGTCACAGGGTGCTGAGCGGGTGCTGGGAGTCCCAGCGCTGGGCCCCAGGGGCTGCCACGCTGGACACCGGAAGCGAGTGAATTGCCCCTGACAGGATCAACCCAGGCCTGTTTCGGGGCCCCCAGCCAGCCTAGGATGGGAGCGCAGAACACACCCAGCTCCCTGGAGTGCGCTCCAGCAGGGGAGGCGGGGCCTGGCTGTGGGAAGGGGGAGTGGGCGAAGGAATTGCCCCGAGGTTAGCCCTTCCCCTGCCACACCAATCTGGTCCCATAGGGCAGCGGGGCGCTCAGCCTGCCGGAGCTGGACCCCCGGGATCTCGCCAGGAGCCTGTGCCCCACTGAAGGCCGGGGGGCTGCCACGCTGGACACCGGAAGCGAGTGAATTGCCCCTGACAGGATCAACCCAGGCCTGTTTCGGGGCCCCCAGCCAGCCTAGGATGGGAGCGCAGAACACACCCAGCTCCCTGGAGTGCGCTCCAGCAGGGGAGGCGGGGCCTGGCTGTGGGAAGGGGGAGTGGGCGAAGGAATTGCCCCGAGGTTAGCCCTTCCCCTGCCACACCAATCTGGTCCCATAGGGCAGCGGGGGGCTCAGTCTGCCGGAGCTGGACCCCCGGGATCTCGCCAGGAGCCTGTGCCCCACTGAAGGCTCCGAGGGGTGAGTGGGGCTGGCCCTGGCTAGGGAGATGAGTAGGATCCGGTTTTGCTCAGGATGGTGTCGGCCACCGTGTGCTCCCTTTGCAGAGAACCCGCCAGCCGGTTCTCCCTTCTAAAGGGCGGGGCCCCTCGCTGCCTGGTCCCTTCGAGGGCTGTGGCTTCCACGTGGCTCTCTGGCAGGGGGGCAGTGACAGCAGGGGCTAGACCAGCCTCTGGCCGCCAGAGCTGGGCAGGGCCCGGTGTGAGCCTGGAGCAGCTGAACTCGGATCCCAGCGAACGCCACCCGGGGCCCTTCGCTCCGTCAGGCCTGGCTGAGCGCAGAGCGTGCCTTGTCGAAAGGAACAGCCAGCCTTGTTTTAAGGCTCCTAGGGAGGCGGAGCCGCCTTGTTCCCAGGGTGGGGGACACCCCTCGCTCCTAGCCTGGAGTGGGCCACCTCGTGCTTCCAGGTCCTAGGTCACAGCGAGCTTTGGTTCAGTGCCCAGCTCCTCCTCTGGGGAAGTGCCCTGGCTTGGATTCTGCCCGTCCCTTGCTGCGTGGCCTCCCTGGGCCGTGTGGGCGTGATCTAGACAGTGCTCGGTCCTGCCGGGAGGGCAGGGGATGGGACTCGAGGCC